GAAAAAGATTGTAGTGCTATCGACCACAATCAAGCCCTTGAAGGGGAGGGAGAGTGTTTGTGTGAATGGAGAAGGGGGAAGGGAAAGGGGGGGGGGTTCGGTTTCAAACTCCGGTGCTCGCCAGCCGGCGCGCGTGCATGTCGTGCCGGCGGTGTTTCGTCCGATGCAACTCAGCACGAGCGCTTTTCCTTTTTGCCGAACCATCTGACCCTCCTCCTCGGGTTCCGGTGAAGCTTTGCGTGTTCGGATCAATGTGCGCCGAGCCCGTAATCGCCAGTCTTCTTGTTAGGGTGTTTTTCTTTCCCGCGATCCAAGCCTTTGCGCTTGGGGGGAGCTCTGATGCCGTTGGAAAGTGGGTCGGTTTTGACGGGGCACCGAATCGGAGCCCTTCCATACCTCGGTGTTTGGGAGCGCGCCGAGAAGATAGCCGGCAGCAACGCTTGCGCGCGCGTTCTTCAACACCTGTCGTCGGGAATCAGTGCGGATGTGTGGGGTGTGGGGCGCATTATCTGTGCCGGCCCAGATGAAGCCAAGCAAACAGCCGCTTCATCTCGCAGACTTGGGGATATGAAACCGTGGTGGGAGGCAACGGTCGACGATGGCGAAATCGGCCCCGATCCGGAGATTTAGCGCCTTAACATTTTTTGGTTGGAGCTCGCGTGTCGCCGTGCGTGTCCTCGCCGACTTGGCAACCTGACTCATCCTCACCGCTACCCGTCAGTCAGCGCGACCTACGCCGCGTAGCAGCGATGATTCATATTCATGTCTGTGCGCCACCCGCCGCGACCAGCTTGACTCATCCGTCCAAGCTTGGACTTTTGCCACTCGAGCTCAAGCGGATGCAATGGCTGAGCAAGGATATAAAGGACGTTCCTTGACCCGGCTTTGTTTGCTTCGCTCTATCATCAGTGCACGAAAATGTCGGGACCTACACAGGGATATCCAAAGAGTCAGGCCAGCGTTCCACCCAAGGTGAGCCCCAAAGCCCCCGCTGTGGTCGTAGCTCATATCTTGACTGGGCGATCTTTGTAGCCGACGGGCCACGATGAACGTCCGATCTGGAGCCGCATGGCCAATACGACCAAGCGCTTCATGAAGCGCGATCCCCAACTCGCACCTCTTGCCGTATTGTAAGTCCGCCCAGTCCTCCAACCAACTGAACGCCGTGCTGATGGGTTTCGATAACGATTTGGTAGCAGTAAGTTCTTTGCAACCACGGTGAGGTCTTGCATCGGATACTAATCGCATGTTGCTCGGGCGATGGTAGCACTCGGAACCGTCGGAGTGTTTCTGTACTTCCACCAGTTGAAAGCGCGAGACACTCCGGTGGGCAAACCTTTGCATGCGCCGGTTAAGCCCAACACCCACGGCGTGCCTTCAACCCAGCCAAGCGCTCGACAGGGAGCTTACCATGCCGAACCACACTCGCCACGCGGACTCGCTCCGTGGGTGTTGCCGCATCTGAGCGAGCAGGAAAAGGCCGAGCTGGAAAGCGTGCCCGAGCCTCGTCACGTCGGCGCGTTTGGAAAGACCATGAAGCAAGCGGCGGTGCTCGATCAGAAGAGGCACCAGGAGTCTGTCGATGCAGCGCGAGACGAGGCGCACAACGAGGTGCCCGTGCGCAACCAGTCGACTTGAAACGGCGCCCCTCACGCTGCGCATCCCATCACACTTGTAACTCGCTTGCAGCTCGCAGTTTGACGTACGAATGGCACTTGATCATGGCTCGATAGCGTGGGCTGGAGGTGCGTCGCCACGGCGGAAGTGGAAAGCGGCTGTTCGAGCCAGGTCGTTATTCGTGCTTCCACGGCCAGTCTTGGGTAGGCTGGAGTCTTGAAGCACGCCTCGACTCTGCACTGGCTGTGTGCTGGCAAAGATGCTCGTCGGTCTCTTTTCCACCGCTCGCTTAACTGCTCCATCCGTCTCTGCTACCCGCGCACCCAACGATGGCACAGCCCCTTTCCAGCTGGTCTGATCAAAGTAGTGACTTCCATGCACGCCCAATCCTAGCGTCAGCACTGCAACCGACAGCGACATTGCCAGTGGGTTGCGCGGCAACTGCCTTGCGACAGGAACAGTTTTGAAGAGCAGATACGTGAGCGACCACGCTGTGACTACGCCGCTGCCATTGAGATGGTCGCCCTGGTCGATCATGTATCCTCCCGTGCCGAACGCTGCTGCGAAGAAGGCGAGCTGCCAGAAGGGCGGCAGCGTGCGCACGGGTGCATGGCTCGCTGCGCTGCGATTCGACTGCACATTCGCAACAAGACGCGCAACGAGCGACGACGAGCCACGAGAGGCGGCGGCTTCCGAAGCGCGGGCGACTTGCTGTTGATGCTGCTGTTTCGCCGCGGCTTCGGCGGCGGCTTGGGCGGGAGAGGCAAAGCCGAACGGTGTCGAGAGCGCAAACAGCGCCGAGAGGGCGTATGAGGGTGTGCTGGTGGATGCGTACGATCCGAGCACGCGCACGTTGCTCTGCAGCCACCCGTCGTTGGCTGAGGCGAGAGACATTGTAGAAGCCATGTGGATCTTGAAGAAGGGAGGTCGGGGAGCGGTCCGACAAAAATGGGTCGGCGGTTGACGTGCATGTGGAGTCCGACTTCCGAGTCGAATTTAAATTGAGTGTTAGAGCTGCAATTCCATCGTGTTGATCGATTGCAATTTTTGTGATTCGGAGCGCGATGGTGAGGCGCCCGTGAAATTTCGAGACCAACAGAGGCGCGCGGCTGAGACAAAATTGCTGCCAAGTCGCACAGACCCCGGCGGCGACGGAGCACCGACGCGTCGCCCTTGGCTTTCCACCGTTGGCCATGCACGACTTCGTAAGCTTAACTCTGTGCTTTGCGTAGGCTGCAGGCACCCGCTGCTTACCGCGCGCTTGGCGTGATGGCCAACACCAAGCTTCATCTGCAGTGCGGAAGTGCGATGCATGCAGCTGCCGGTGGGCGTGTGGGCGCGCGCGGCCGTACGTTGTTGGCGAACGCTTTGAAAGCAAGGCGTCGGTGTTGGATGGGGCTATCACTCGCACGCACGGCAAATGTCCGTTGACCGCACTGCACATGCACTCCAAACTGTCGCCGCTCTACAGCACCCGATGAGGGATCAGCAATGGCTGGAATGTTGTGCTTCTTGAACACCGAGCGAGAAAAATCGGGAAAAAAGCGGGAAAAAAGGGAAAAAAGGGAAAAAAGGGAAAAAAGGGGGGTTGGGACCCTGGTTTGGGCGCGTCGATGCGAATTGCAAATGTGAAATGAGCCGATCCTCAGCGCGCGCCGGTCCAAGACTGCTCGACTGCCAGGCGGTGGGAGAGAGGGCGAGGGCGAGTGTTGCTGTGCTCTGCTGTGCTCTGCTGTGCTCTGCTGGCGGCCAGCAAGTTCGAACCGCCCCTGTCACGCATTCCTCTCCCCCACCTATCCTCGCCCTTTTCGCTGCTCACCACCATCGCACCTCATCGCCCCCCGACCTCACCAATTCGTGGTCACTGGTGCACGCTGGGACATACCTCTCCCACCTCGACTGGAATCGAGCGCTGCATCCATCTTGGAAGGCTACCGTGGATCACTTGCGTCTCTCACACACACACAGACACCACTCGCTTGCTCCCATATCAGCCTAGAGCCAAAGACAGCCAGGAGCTTCTCTTTCCCCGCCCTCGCCTGGCACTGCGCCGCTTCGCCATCATGTCGGTCAAAAACGCCCATGACCCCTTCGCAACGCCCCTCGAGACCCTCCACCACGACCCTCTCGCAGAGACCGCTGGACTCAAGGCCGACTACGACAAGCGCGCCTACGGTGAAGCGAACCCCGGCCTCGTCGGCACGCTCGAAAAGGATGACATCGCCAACCGTCCCATCGATGCCGTCGAAGAGGTGCCCACCACCAGCGTCCGCAAGTGGTGGGTCCGCCTCACATGGTTCACTACCTGGTGGATCCCTTCCTTTGCGCTCGCAAAGTGCGGCGGCATGAAGCGTCCCGACGTGCAGATGGCCTGGCGCGAAAAGTTCACCATCTGCGCCATCATCTTTTGGCTCTGCGCCATCATCCTCTTCTACATCATCGGCTTCGGCCGTCTCCTCTGCCCAGACTACGACAAGGCTTGGAACGAGTCTCAGCTCAGCCAGCACGCAGGTCAGGACGACTACTACGCCGCCATCCGCGGCACCGTCTACGACTTCACCAAGTTCTACAAGGGCGACCACTCGGACATCACCAACCTCCAGACCAGCTCCGACCTCATGCTCCAGCTCGCAGGCCAGGATCTCACCGAGTACTTCCCCGTGCCCCTCACCGTAGGCTGCCAGTCGCTCGTCTCCGACACCTCGCTCGCCCTCCAGCCCACCGCCAACAACACCCCCGCCATCTCCCAGGCCGTCCACACCTCGGGCCCGCTCCAGCCCGACGCCTCCTCCAAGCTGCACGACATCGAATGGTACCCCGAGCGCTTCCTCCCCTTCACCAAGAAGCTCAAAAAGGGCTACTACGTCTACTCCAAAAAGTCGATCGAGGACCAGGGTCAGTACAGGAATTGGGCCGTCGTCAACAGCAAAGTCTACGACATCTCGGACTACCTCAACACCCTCAACGTCTACCAGACCAACGCCGCCTACGATTTCCTCGACTCGTCGCTCGTCGCGCTCTTCAAGAGTCAGGCGGGCCAGGACATCACCGCCGACTTTACCGAGGTCATGGCCGGCTTCAACACCACCTACCGCGGCGCCACCCAGGCCTGCCTCGACAACGTCTTTTACGTGGGCAAGACCGACTTCCGCAACACGGCGCGCTGCGAGGTGCAAAACTACCTCCTGCTCGGCTTCTCGGTGCTCCTCGTCGCCACGGTGCTCGCCAAGTTCATCGCGGCGCTCCAGCTCGGCACCAAGCGCACGCCCGAGCAGCAGGACAAGTTTGTCATCTGCCAGGTGCCCTGCTACACCGAGTCCGAGGACGAGCTGCGCAAGACCATCGACTCGCTCGCCGGCCTCGAGTACGACGACAAGCGCAAGCTCCTCTTCCTCATCTGCGACGGCATGATCGTCGGCAGCGGCAACGACCGCTCCACGCCGCGCATCGTGCTCGACATCCTCGGCGTCGACCCCAAGATCGACCCCGAGCCGCTCATGTTCAAGTCCGTCGCCGAAGGCTCCAAGCAGCTCAACTACGCCAAGGTCTATTCGGGCCTGTACGAGTTTGAGGGTCACGTGGTCCCCTACATTGTCGTCGTCAAGGTGGGCCGTCCCAGCGAGCGCTCGCGTCCCGGCAACCGCGGCAAGCGCGACTCGCAGATCCTGCTCATGCGCTACCTCAACCGCGTCCACTTTGACGCGCCCATGTTCCCGCTCGAGCTCGAGATGTACCACCAGATGAAGAACGTCATCGGCATCGACCCCGCATTCTACGAGTACATCCTCATGGTCGACGCCGATACGCGCGTCGAGGCCGACGGTCTCAACAGGCTGGTGGCCAACTGCGCCGACGACTCGCGCATCATCGCCATCTGCGGCGAGACCACGCTGGACAACGCCGAGGGCTCGTGGTGGACCATGATCCAGGTGTACGAGTACTACATTTCGCACCACCTCGCCAAGGCGTTCGAGTCGCTGTTTGGCAGCGTCACGTGTCTGCCCGGTTGCTTCTCGCTCTACCGCATCCGCAGCTCGGACAAGGGCCGACCGCTGTTCATCTCGAACCGCATCATCGACGACTACTCGGAGAACCGCGTGGACACGCTGCACAAGAAGAATCTGCTGCATCTGGGTGAGGATCGATATCTGACGACGCTGGTGCTCAAGAACTTCCCCGCCTTCCGCACCAAGTTTGTGGCGGACGCCAAGGCGCTCACCAGCGCGCCCGAGCGATTCGGGGTGCTGCTGTCGCAGCGTCGACGATGGATCAACTCGACGGTGCACAACCTGGCCGAGCTGGTGCTCATGCCGGAGCTGTGCGGATTCTGCCTGTTTTCGATGCGCTTCATCGTGTTTATCGATCTGCTGGGCACGGTGATCCTGCCTGCGACGGCGGTGTATCTGGTGTATCTGATCATCACGGTGGCGACGCGCACGGCGGCCATCCCGTACATCTCGATTGCCATGATTGCGGCGGTGTACGGATTGCAGGCGATCCTGTTCCTGCTCAAGCGCCAGTGGCAGTACATTGGATGGCTGATCATCTACATCCTGGCGTACCCGGTGTTTTCGTTTTTCCTGCCCATCTACTCGTTCTGGCACATGGACGACTTTTCGTGGGGCAACACGCGTATCGTTGTGGGCGAGAAGGGCAACAAGAAGATTGTGGCGGGCACGGACGACGAGCCGTACGACGACACGATGATTCCGGTGAAGCGGTTCAGCGAGTACCAGCGCGAGGTGTGGGAGGAGGGAGCGGCGCCGTCGGTGCGCTCGGGCATGACGGGCGCGAGCGGGCCGTTTGGCAACTCGCAGGCGATCCTGCACAGCGGACCGCCGAGCCTGTACAAGGCGGGGAGCGCGTATGCGGGCAGTGCGGCGGGGTCGGAGTACGGGCAGCCGTTGGGCGGGGGCGACTACTACCAGAACACCAACGTGCTGGCGCGGCCGGCGCACTCGCGACAGGCGTCCGGAGCGGCGCTGTCGCAGATGGGCGGCATGGGCGGCATGGGCGGCGGATCGCAGGTGTTTGCGGGCACGCCGAGCATGTACGGCATGCCGGGGATGGGCTCGATGTACGGCATGCCGAGCTCGTCGGCGTCGATGTACGGCATGCCTGGCATGGTGAACCCGACGGCGTCGATGTACGGGATGCCGCCGATGATGCCCAATCCGCTGGCCATGACGCATTCACCGGCTGGGTCGGACATTGGCTTGACCATGCCGCTCTCGCAACAAAACACGGGCAGCAACATCTGGGCGCAGCAGCAGCAGCCGCAGCAGCCGCAGTCGCCGCAGTCGCCGCAGCAGCAGMAGGAGATGCGACCGGTTTCGACGTACTCGACGCTGAACGCGGCGAATCCGTTTGCAGCAGCGCACGTGCCGCGAGCGCTTCCGGTGAACGAGGCGTCGGATCCGACGGACGAGGAGATTCGGGCGGCGGTGCAGACGTATCTGGCGTCGCAGGCGAGTCTGATGAGCGTGACCAAGCGCTCGGTGCGCGAGGCGCTCGTGGCAGCGTTCCCCAATGCCGAGCTGTCGTCCAAGAAGCAGATGATCAACAAGGCCATCGACGCCACGCTCTCGGGCGGTGCGCAGGCCTAAGCCTTTTACTCTCTCCAACACACTCTCACTCCCTCATACACGCGCTCTCTGCGAAGGGGGCCGGGCACACACTCTTTGTTTGTGTTTATGTTTTCGTTTTGCGATTGTTTCATCAATGCACGGACTTTCTTTTTCTCGATCTGGCTTTCGGAATACGTTTGTGCGACGAGGAGCGGGATGGATGGATGCGTTGATAGACAGGATGGATTCTAGAAGGTTCGGCGTGGATGGTGGAGTGGGGATCGGGGATGCAAAGGCGGTGGAGGGTAGCGAAGGGGGTGTGATGTGGAAGGGGGGGAAAAAAAAGTGGAGGTTTTAGGCTGAGTGTGCTGCAAAAGTGCTTTGATTAGAGTTGGGAGCTTAAAGTGGGATTGTCATGCTTCGTTGGGGCATGGTCGGCTTCGGCTTGAAAGGACGTGGCGATCTGGATCCGACGATCGGCTCGAGCTGCAGTGGTGGCGTGTCGACAGCAACCGATGTACCACAAGCGCGATTGCAGACTGAGACCTGTGCATCAGCTCTGGCCCGGTCCAACTCATCCGATGCCTCTCTTGACGAACAGTCCCGTGTGCTCAAGCCAGCCGTGCTCGAGTATTGTTAGGTACGGCAAAGTGCAGCAGCTAGTCGGATGGCGATGCTGGCTTAGTCGCCCATGTGACGCATGGATGCAGCTGCATCAGATTGGCAGAAAAAAGGCCGCGGCGTCGGTGCAGATTTTGCAGATGTTGGGTGCGTTTGGGTGCAGCGGCCCTGCATTTTAGCGATGATGCATTGCACTCACATTCTGCAGCGGCGGCGGTGCGGAATCAATTTTTTCGGTTTTTTCGGCAGCGGCAGCAGCGCCATTCCACGTCGAGGAGCCGAGCAGAGAGAGCATCCGCATCGCCTCTTCATCATCACCACCACGTCGTCCGTGCTTATATGATCTCGGGATCATGGCGTCCTCGACTCCACAACCCACCACACCCCCACACATCCTTCCCGCCACCACATCCACACCGATACCCTCCTCCACAGCCTCGGCTTCCACCACCACCACCACCACCACCACCAC